TCATCACTCCCTTTGATGGACTCCCTATGATGAGATCTTGTGGATGATCTTGTAGAAGAGGTGTATTTCTTCTATTGACCACTTGAGGAGGAGGTTGTGGAGCATCAACATCTTGTGCTTGTACCACCATTTGCTCATGGGAAACATGAGTATCTTCATTTTCTACTCTCCCATCTTTTTCACCATCTTGTGGCACACTTGATGAAGAAGGTTGATCAATGACTTGTACATCATCTTCATCATCTTTAGGCTTGATGTCTCCCACCGGAATGTTCTTCATAGCCTCCCTCAATGGTTCATCACCTACATCATCAAGATTCTCATATGCTCCTTGGGAGCCATTAGATTCATCAAACTCCACATCATATGTTTCTTCAACCAAGCCGGTGGCATGATTAAATACTCTATATGCTTTGGACTTTGATGAGTAACCAACAAGAAAACCAATATCACAACGCCTTTGAAACTTCCCTAGGTGTTGCTGCTTCTTGTAGATATAGCATTTGCAACCAAACACCCTAAAGAAGGAGACGTCCGGCTTCTTCCCATTGAGCAACTCATAAGGTGTCTTGCCAAGAAACTTTTGAAGGAATAGGCGGTTGGATGCATAACATGCGGTGTTGATTGCTTCCGCCCATAGAGTTTCGGGTGTGTTGTACTCATCTAGCATTGTCCTTGCAAGAGTGATCAAAGTCCGGTTCTTCCTCTCAACTACACCATTTTGTTGAGGAGTATAAGTTGCGGAGACTTCATGCTTGATCCCAACTTCATCACAATAAGCTTCAATGTTTGTGTTGTCAAATTCTTTTCTATTGTCACTTCTTATCTTCTTGAGCTTCACTTCAAATTCATTTTGAGCTCTCTTGGCAAACTTCTTGAAGCAAGATGCAACTTCGGATTTGTCATGAATAAAGAATACCCATGTATACCTTGAATAGTCATCAACTATCACAAGACAATTGAGATTCCCTCCCAAACTCTTGTATGTTGTTGGTCCAAATAAATCCATGTGAAGGAGTTCTAGCACTCTTGTGGTTGACATGAAAGCTTTGGTTGGATGAGTATTTGCAACTTGCTTGCCGGCTTGACATGCACTACAAAGCTTGTCCTTTTCAAACTTCACATCCTTCAACCCTCTCACCAAATCATTCTTCATAAGCTTCTTGAGTGAGCTCATCCCAACATGAGCAAGTCTTCTATGCCATAGCCACCCAAGTGTTGTTTTGGTGAATAAACAAGTCTTCAAATTTGCATCTTCGGAGGTGAAGTCCACTAGATATAAGTTGTTGTATCTAAATCCATTGAATATCACTTGATTGTCATCTACCTTGGATACAACAACCTCCTTCTCGGTGAACAAGCATTGGAAGCCAAGATCACACAATTGTCCAACGGATAGCAAATTGAAGCTCAAAGAGGCAACATAGAGCACATTGGAGATGGAATGATCATTTGATATTGCCACTTTGCCCAATCCTTTAACCTTGCCCTTTGAGTTATCTCCAAATGTAATTTTCTCTTGTCCATCTACCTCTTCATCTAGTGAGGTGAACATACGAGGATCACCGGTCATATGTTGAGTGCAACCACTATCAATAACCCAATGACTTCCACCGGTCTTGTAGTTCACCTTGCGTTCACCCTTGGCCATAAGGCATAGGTGTGTAGAGGATGATGGCGATGGTGGCGGTGAAGATGCAAGATCAATAGCAATGGCGGCCACCTTCTCATTGTCACTATCATCATCGGATGATCCACTTGATGAATCAATGTCCGTGAGCCAATCATCGACAATGTAGGCCTTTCCACTCTTCTTCTTGTAGAAGTCCCTCTTTTTGCCATCTCTCTTCTTGTATGGCTTGTTCTTTTTCTTCTCATCTTCATCTTCATTGCTTGAGTCATCTTTCTTGCCCTTGTTCTTGTTCTTGAACTTGTCTTTCTTGGGCTTTGTGCATTGATGAGCTAGATGGCCAAGTTCACCACAATTGTAGCAATCCATCTCGGAGATTGGCTTTCTTCTTGAGCTAGTGAAGAACTTCTTCTTCTTGCCATCAAACTTGATGCCACTCTTGTTTAGCTTCTTTAGCATCTTGGCGGTCTTCTTCACCATGAGAGCAAGACTTTCTTCATCAACTTCATCTTCACTTGAGCTTTCATACTCAAGTCTTGCCTTGCCCTTCTCTTGGCTAGCTTTGAATGCTAAGTCTTTGTCTTTCTTCTTGTTAGAGGATGAGCCATCTTGTGGCGTGATGTGCATGTACATCTCATGAGCATTGATCTTTCCCAAGATTTGTGTCGGTGTAGCGGTGGAAAGATCACCTTGGTGTAGCACGGTCACAATATGCCCATATTTGTCAATGGGGAGGACACTCAAGATCTTTCTCACAACATCGGATGGTGACATTTGAGTAAGTCCAAGCCCATTGACTTCCTCTACAAGAACATTCAACCGTGAATACATCTCATTAGCACATTCTTTGGGAAGCATCTCAAATGAATTTAACTTTTTAATCACAAGATGATAGCATTCCTCACGCTCACTCTTGGTTCCCTCATGGAGCGCACAAACGTCCGACCATAGAGCATGGGCGTCTTTGTGGTTCCTTACGCGATTGAACACATCTTTGCAAAGGCCTCTAAAGATGGTGTTGCAAGCCTTTGCATTCCATTTTTCATAGTTCACTTCATCGCCTTGAAGTTGTGCGGGATTCCTAGGTCTTGGGAACCCATGAGAGGCGGCTCTAAGTATTCCAACGTCTAGAGCTTCTAGGTACGCCTCCATGCGAATTTTCCAATATGGAAAATCATCCCCCTCGAAGATAGGAGGAGGTCCATCCCCGTGAGACATCTTGCTCTAAGCGATTAAGCTTAAAAACGTGAGCACGAGGCTCCGATACCAATTGAAAGGATCAAGATGCCCAAGAGGGGGTGAATTAGGCTAATTCTAAATTTTCTTGCAATAATTAAACCCTATTGATAGCCCAATTAACCCCTTGTGCCTAGAAAGTGTTTGTAATATTCTATCGTACAAAGAGACTTGCGACCTAGGTTCCAATCCTACTCTAGCATGACAATTCTAGGAATGTAAATGATAAGAATTGAATTGCTCAAAGTAATGCTTAAAGTAAATGCTCAAAGTAAAGAGAGGAGAGGAAGCGCGGCGATGTTTTACCGAGGTATCGGAGAGTCGCCACTCCCCACTAGTCCTCGTTGGAGCACCCGCGCAAGGGTGTAGCTCCCCTTGATCCGTGCAAGGATCAAGTGCTCTCTACGGGTTGATTCTTCGACACTCTGTCGCGGCGAATCACCCAAAGCCGCTCACAACTTGAGTTGGGTCACCCACAAGCTCCGCCGGGTGAACACCAAGCTCCCAATCACCACCAAGCCATCTAGGTGATGGCCATCACCAAGAGTAACAAGCACGAACTCTCACTTGACCACGCGAAGCCTAATGAGAAGATGGATGCACACTTGTCTACTCTTGATTCACAAATGAGGCTACTCTCTTGGATTCACAAATCTCAATCACCTCACTAGGACGTTGCTCTTCTTGGCACTCACAAATGTGTTTCTCTGCTGTTGGAATGAGCAAAAGTCCCTCCACACACGAGTGGAGCTTCTATTTATAAGGCAGCCTGAAAAACGAACCGTTATGTGCCTCTGTGGGGTGACCGGATGCTCCGGTCATGTTGACCGGATGCTCCGGTCAGTTCAACCCGCATACCAGTGAAAATGTGTTGACCGGACGCGTCCGGTCGCATTAAAACCTTACTGGAACCTTACTGTACTTGATCGGACGCTGAACCCCTAGGGTCCGATCACAACTGACCGGACGCGTCCTGTCGCAGATTCTCTTCTCTGGAACCTTACTGGAGTCGACCGGACGCTGCCTCTCAGCGTCCGATCACTTGACCACTCCAGCGTCCGGTTGCACCGAACGCAGTCCCTTGATCAAATGAATTGACCAGACCCTGCGGCCAGCGTCCGGTCGCACCGGAGCCAGCGTCCGGTGCAGCATTTGACCCTCCATTCACCTTCAACTCTCGATCATGTGTGAATGAAGTTTGCTCCATTGGATCTTAGGCATATGTAGGAGCTACCTAGAGCTAGTTTAAACAAGTGTGCACCACACCTAACTCACTAGACTCATCTAGGTCAAGCTACCCGTCCATACCCCCCTTAATAGTATGGCCAAAGGAAAAACAAAGTCCTAAACTACTCTAAGTGTCACTCCAACTCCAATCGACACTTAGAACTAGTCATCCTTAACCTTGTCGTCCATCCTTTGAAAACCAAAATGATTTCTATCATAGGGGCATGACCACCTCGATTGCCCAATCAATCTCCATTACCATGACCTAGCTTAATTGCCTCTGCAAAACACACGTTAGTCATAGTAATCTTATATTGTCATTAATCACCGAAACCCAATAAAGGGGCCTAGATGATTTCACTCTTGTCGCGCTTCCCAGTGCCATCCTACGCCGCATCACCGTGCCCACCGTGGCCACTACTGTTGCCACCACGGCCTCGCCCGTGACCCCGACTCCGCCGACCGCTCTCTTGTGATCGGCTCCTCCCGGATCCCTCACTAGACATCCGCTTCTGCCGAGCTTCCCACTCAGCTTGAGTCAATAGCACCTGACCAGTGTCTATCTTCGCTACGCCACTAGCTCCCCGCCTTGTGCGCTCTTCATACGCTTTCAACCGGCCAACCGCCTCATCGAACGCCACCTTCTTGAGATCGTAGAACTGTTTGATCCCGCAACCACGTTGATGAACCACTCGGGCACTGTGTCGAACATCTTCTTCACAAGTGCTGCATCATCAAGTGATCCACCGAGGTTGCCGTACCGGACTGACATGCCCGTCAACCGCCCTGCGTACTGATCGATGGCGTCTTCCTCCTTCATCTTCATGGCGTCGAACTCGCTCTTCAGTGTTTGTAGCCGCGCCTTCCTGACACGCTCCTCGCCGACGAACCTCGCCTTCAACGAGTCCTAGACCTCCTTCCCGGTCTTCTTCGCCGCGACTTGCATCAGTATGTCATCGGGCAAGCACTGAAGCAGATGTGCCCGCGCCTTCCTGTCTTTCGCCTTCGCCGTCGCTGTCGCCGCCGCACTCTGCTCCGAAGACTCCTCGGACGGCTCCATGATCTCCCACACCCCCTGGTCCTCCATGATCACCTGGACTCGAATGTTCCAACTGGTGTAGTTGGTTGCGGTCAGTGCCGGGTATGTGATCCGGTCACCACCGCCGCCGCCGCCTGCGCCACCACTCCGGTCACTCATGGCGTGAATCAAGGGATGATTAGCGCGTGATCAAGGCTCTAATACCAAATGTTGGAACTCAGGATCACAATCACAGCGCTAAGATCAAATCTGGCTATCCTAACAGGAAGAAAAACGAAAGAACAGTGATGAACGCAATCCAGCAACTGTCAGAGGACAGTGCTATTTTCCACAGATGTATTATGACATCACACACTATTTACAACTAATACAATGCATTTTTACGCTCTCTGAACTCTCTGCTACTTATACCTGCAGTTTACACCACTGCAAAACACACTGAAAATTCAAAATACAAAGATACACGGAATGTAAAATGCAACTGCTTCACGCTAGTTCTCGTCATGGGCGCGGTCACCACCTGGCTGCCCACCAACCGTTCCCGCTCCTGCTGAGTTTGAATTCAGACTTGCTGCTCTCGCCTAGCCAGCATCTCCAACACCTCAGCACACTCCTAACCAGCATCAAGCATACATCAACAGACATGATTGACCTGCTGCTGCAGCTCGTCGACGACCCATGCCTCGAGGTCCCCCTCGACGGCGACGGTGTCAAGGCATCCGTTCTGGAGCTCATCACCGGCGGCACGGACACCTCGTCGGTGACAGTGGAGTGGGCCATGTCTGATCTCCTGCGGAAGCCCGACGTCCTAGCAAAGGTGACCGATGAGCACCACCCTCTAATTTACTCTAGCTTCGCCACTGCGTTTGGTCACACAGGCGTCTAAACGCTGCTTCCATTCGAACGTATCTAGGGCACATCATCCCATCCCGTGTAACAGAAACGCGCCCGCCATGCCCGTGTAATAGGAGGACTGTTACCCCGCCGCGTCGTAACAGGCAGGAGAGTGCCCGCCGTGCCCGCCTCACCCCGTTTGCGGATGTGTGCCATGGAGGCATCTATCGGCCTCAGCTGCCCTCACGGTGACCCACGGTGACGCCCCAGCAGCAGCAACAGACGACTACAGCAGGCTGCTGTCCGCCAACCATCGAGGCCATTGCAACATGTGCGCCTCTAGATCTACTTTTAAAACATTCAGTTGAAACAATTGCAACGTACTACTAAAAACAGATGAAACACTTGAAACATATGCTTGAAACATGCATATATAGACATAATAACATATGCAATATCGAGATCTACTTTTGCAACATCCAAATAAAAACACTTGCAACATACATATGAAACACCTAAAATATTTATGTTATGCGACATCCAAATATATTTCTGAAACACCCAGATGAAACACTTGAAAACATACGTCTGAAACAATAGAAACACTTAAAACATATGCTTGCAACATGTTTGGATTGTCATTGCAACATATGCAATATCTCAGATATACTTTTGCAACATCTACATAAAACACTTAAACATAAGTCTGAAAAGCCTTAAACACTTGAAACACAGCGTCGTCGGCGGTCACGGCCTACCTGGTGGGGAACTCTGGTAACTAGCAAGCTTGGGTCAGGGGGACATCAAGAGCAACGACCCAGCGTAAACCTATGCGCAGGCGCAGGCCTCTGATCCCCTTCTTGTCGATGGCTTCGTGGATGGGGCGCAGGCGCAGGCCTCTCGAGGCCTCCCTAGGCACAGCGCGAGGCCTCCTCTGCCTCCCTATCCACGACGAGCGAGGTGGATGGTGGTGTGGCACGGCGCGGCGCGGGATGGTTGCACAGGAGCGAAGAAACGGTGAACAGAGATGGGGAGAAAGGAGCATAGGATAGACGAAGACTTGCTAAGCGCGTGCGGGAAGGCAGAGAGCCAGAGAGGAAGGGAGCGCAAGGGGCGACGGGTCCTAAATTGCATCTAGAGTATTCTAGAGCGGACGGAAAGGCCCACCAGCCTGCCGTGTTGTTTCGTAGATGGGCCGATATATTTTGTGTGGTCCACAACTGGACGAAGCGTCCGTCCATCCAGAGGTCAGGTAAGCAGCATTATTTGTGGTTCACAGTTGGACGAAGCATCCGTCCGTCCAGACATCAGGTAAGCAGCATTACCGATATTAATAAGGTCAGTCTCAGTGGAGAATTTTATAGTGTTGTTTCCAAAAATACCACATCAAATAAAATGCAATGAAACTTGAATGAAACAATCACTCTCAATATATAGTTTCATTCTACAGTTTCATAAACATTTAATTCCTTGACTCATTGTGAGTTGGTAATTGTGACAGGAGAGATTCATCCCCATGAAACTCATTTCTTTGCTCTTCTTAAATATGGCGCCACATCATCAAAATACCTACCAGACTACTTATTAAGGCTGTTTGGAACTGCTTCACTCCACGTTTTTTTCAACTCCACTCCACGTTTCTCAGTCAAACAGGTTCAGCTCCAGGAAAATGGTGAAATTGTGAAAGCATTTAAAGAGGTGCTCCATAAATTCTAGGTTTTTTTGAGTTGCTCCACGATAGAATTTGTGGAGTACATTTGTGGAGCAGTCGCAGCACCCTCTAAAATGCGGATGAAACTGGGATAAAACTCCCACTAAGACCGGACTAAGTGTGATTCATTCGTTATATGGATTAGTAACCGTCACGTTCTCACACGTCACCTACTGCCAAAAAACAAAACATCAATCAAACAGGTAAGACATAAATTAAAATTGCTTTTTCAGAAACAACTGCTTGTGTACACTACAATTTTTGCAGCACTGTAGACCCCGCTTCAGCTTTTCTAAATGTGTTGGAAGAGATGCCGTTTCACGGGTATTTCAAGACAGGTAGAGGGAGAAGGTATGCTTTGTAGTTGTTTGAACCAAACAACTTATAATTTTTGAACAACATATATACTTTATATTTGTTTTTTCAAAGCTTACATTTACAGTAGTTTTTTCACAGCTCAGAACTTAACTAAGAAGAGTCAAGCAACCAGAAATATATAGAAATAATTCGTGGCAAGAGTCCTCACAAGCAAAAAAACATATAATCCCAGCGACCGTGGCCGTCCCTGGTGAACCAGAGTCCACAAACATTCAGGAAACCGTCTGTTTACATCTATTGTCCACCAAGAACAAATGCATACCAAGTCTGATGGAACCATCCATGTGGTGAATCGTGATGGCTAGTCTGCATCCCTGTTGGGTGTACGTATGCCTCTACGTATAGATTTGCACCTGTAAACCAACTCCAGAAACTTGCGCTTAGCTTGAAGTTGATCGATTCCAGTGGGCATGTGATTGATGTTCCAACACAAATTCTCAAAAAAATGCTGTCAGATGATGAGGATGCATATACAGACGCAGCAGAACACACAGTCCTCCATGCGTAACGAAATGGAGAGCAACCAGGGCCTCCTCGCGTCCCCTGCCATATGGAAGGAAACCTGACGCGTGCGCGGTATGATCGCGCGTCCCGTACGTTCACGCCTGCACGGTGTCAACCTGGCCTCCAATGCAGATGCAGACGGCACACGTTGCATCCCCGTGCTGACGTCCGGGCAGCGGGTGGTTCAGTGGTTGCGTTTCCCCACGCGGAGGGCCCCGTGCACTCAGCCGTGGATGACTCGAGGTCCGACCCCTGCCCTGTCTGCCTTGCAGGCCTTCCGCTTCCTCTCCGAATCCAACTACACCTACGACCGCGTTCAAATACTAACATTAACATCGAAGGACACTCATGTATATGCTCACCTGAACATCTTAAATAGAGTTTGAGGACTAAAACGGTAGTTTTAAAAAGTTCATGAATGAAACTGAGCCTCGAATAATAATTAAGGGACAAAAATGGCTATTCTGTCTAAATCCTACGTTACGTTGCCTGCCACTAGACGTGGACCATGGGCTTGGGCTCGAACTCAACGGGGATCTGGTCGACCTCGAAGACGAGCTCACCAGCCTAGAGATGATCCAGTCAGTCGGAGGCGCATGCAGAGCCCGCCGGACGAGGGGCTCCAACCTTGATGGAAGCGACCCTACCTAGGAGGGCCGCGGCCTACGGGTCGCATCCTAGGGAAGGCGCGGGTGGACGTCGACTCTGGTAGGTGGCGCAAGGGGGCTTCGGTGGGATCTTCGAGATCCACTCCCTCCTCGCCGTGCTGCTGACCGACCCACTGTGCCGAACATCAAAGTGGGCATTGGACGCACCACCGCTGGGTGCAGGATATGGCCGGGATTGGGTGGATAGCCAGTGGGGTGCTGCATCTGTGTGCAGAGGATGGAGAAGTGGGTAGGAGGCGGCGGCGTGTGGACTCTGGAAGCGATAAGCCGGAGGGAGGAGGGAGGGTTAGGGATTAGCTAGGGTGCGGGTGCCTACGGGGCATGCTATGTGCCGACCTAGGTGCCGCCCAGTCACGCGACGACTAGGGCGGCGATTGGGCCTCGCCCTGCTCCGCACAGCCCATTGCAGCCCACCAACGTGCTGCCCACTGCTGCCCACGGCTTCTACCTCCCCGCGACGCGCCGACGCCACCACTACAAGAATCCTATTAATCCACGATGGAAAATTTCTGTCACGAATCACCAAAAAACCGTCACCAAGCAACATCTGTGATGGTTCTAGATATCATCATGGATTGAGCGTCATGGATTAACCTATGTGACGGTTTGTCGAAAACTATCACGGATTAACGAAATCGGTGGCGGTCTTAAATCGTCACGGTAGAGCCCGAGGCCTAGTTAGCCCAGCCCAAGCCCATTTCCTGCAACGAAAATAACCGTCATGGATGAATTGCCACATCATCATTGTGCTTACATGGATGCTTTCGTGGACACTACCTCAGCCCATTTATTAACAGGCTAAAATCAAAGATGGGCCAATTTTTGGCCCAATTTCTGCCATTTTCACAGCTCTTTTTCAGCCATTTTGGTAGGCCAAATTTAGCCATTTTGCTGCCCAATTTCGTCACCAATTTTTAGCGCACTTTTTAGCCCACTACTACAGCACACACAACCCATATACACAGCCCATTTTCGCACATACAACCCATATACACAGCACATACAACTAATACTATAGCAGCACATCCATGGTGAAACAGCTAAGGTGGTGGCGTGCCACGAGG